GTGCTTCTATTTTTACGAAAACCACATTGAATGTTAGAAATTAGATTATTGGATTCTAGAAACCACACTAATCTATTATTGACCATGCGTTCCATGGTCTTGCAAACGCAGCTAGTTAATGAAATAGGTCTGTAGTTGGATGGATCTGTATGATCCCGGCCAGGCTTAGGTATTGGTACAACAATGGCATGACGCCACGAAGGAGGAAAATGCCCTGTCATCCAAATATTATCAAAAATGTTCAGAAGTGTTTCAAGACAAGCATTAGGTAAATGTTTCAGGAGCTGATAGTGGATATTATCAGCACCTGTTGCCGTATCATGAGCTTGCGTTAAGGCAGTATTCAGCTCATGTAGTGAAAATACTTCATTATAATCTTCACCATTATCAGAATGAAAGTTAATTTTATTTTTTTCTTGATGATCTTTATATTTCTGAAACTTTGGATTGTAGTTGGATGAAGAAGAATGTCTCGCTAAAGTTGCACCCAACTTGTTTGCAATGTCAATTTTATCAGTTAAAAGATCGTCGCCATCTTTGAGATGATGAACACTTGAATTTCTACCTTTGCCCTTGATTCTCTGTACCATGTTCCATACCTTCGTCATTGGTGTACGGGAATTGATCTTTGATACAAAGTTCTTCCATGACTGACGTTTACTTTGTTTAAATGTACGTCGAGCCTTGGCATTGTTTATTTTAAAATTATTTAAATTGTGAACTGTAGGGTGGCGGCGAAAGTATTTCTCTGCCTTTTTCCTACACTTTCTAGCTTGTTTACAATCGTCAGTAAACCATGGTTTTCGAATATGTGGTTTAGCAGAAGCCTTAGGAATAGTTTCATCGGCAATGTTTTTCAGTTTATCAGAGAACAACTGAATCGGATCTGTAACATTAACAAAAAGGTCGGACTGTAATGTGTCAGCGCACAGTGTCTGAAATAATGGCCAGTTGGCCTTATTAAAATTCCACCTTGTTGTTGGTGGATCATCGTTTGGGTTTATAGCAGAAAGGATTGTGGGGAAATGGTCACTTCCACACAGGTCATCGTGTACTGACCAGTCAAATTCATTATAAATATTTGGGTCCGTGAGGGACAGATCAAGTGCAGAATAAGTTCCAGAACCAGGATGTAAATATGTGGCTGATCCATCATTGAAAAGACATAAATTATTATTAAACATGAAGTCTTCAAGGATTCTCCCTTTACTGTTAATATTGGCACTTCCCCACAAAGGGTTATGGCCATTAAGATCACCCATTATGATACAGGGTTTGGGAAGCTGGTCAAATAGATCCTGAAGATCAGACTGCTGAAGAGCAGAAGAAGGAGAAATGTACAAAGAACAAAGAGTAAAGGTTACCTGTAAAGTTAGACGGACAGCAACAGCCTGAAGATTGCTTTTAAGAGGGACAGGGCTATGAATAACACCCTGTCTAACCAAAATAGAAGCGCCACCAGTGGCTCTTTCACCTTGGGGTGAAAACGAATGATATGAATTGTACCGACGTAATTCAAATTTATCTGAACTTTTCAGATAAGTCTCTTGTAGACTAAAAGCCGAAGGTGTAAAATCCTGAGATAATAATTGCAGATCGTTAAAATTGTTCCTAAGGCCTCTGCAATTCCATTGTATTAAGTTCATTAAAATGTTTAGGGAGCTTCAACTGGAGATCGTGAGCGCGCGGCAGCGCCACTCCTACAAGCTGTTTGTGAAGGAGTGATCTCCATGTCAAGCGGTTCGAACAGATTTTGAACCGCCACAGAAGGTGTTATGGGAGAAGGCTCTTCTAAAGGATGAAGGGCTCTGGTCTTTCTTCTCAACTTCTTCTTTTCTTTATTTGTGAGTTTAACAACGCCCTGAGTATCAGGAGTTAAATCAATATCTGATATTTGTCCTGGTTGGTTCTCCTCAGTCTGGGATGCTGATGAGCGTTGACACTTCTGTGATGATTGAGTCGTGTCATCCAAGGTTATCTGAGCGTCATTCACCCAAGATATGTCAGTCTGACAAGATGTTGAAACGGATGCAGCTTTTTTGACAGTAGAGAGAACAGTAGAAGATACTGTGGCAGAATAGGTAAGACCTGTTGCTGGTCTTGACTGAGCCTGAACCAATTTCTTTGCTTCAAAGTATGAAATATTATTATTGCACTTCAATTTTAGAATTTTGCACTCATACTCAAATTTTGGACAAGATTTCGATGATGACAGATGCTCACCACTGCAGTTGGCACACTTCATGTCATTAGTACATTCGGTGCTTTCATGAGCCCCACTACAGCGTGAGCACACTGACTTACCTGTGCAAGATCTCGCACCATGTCCAAATTTTTGGCATTTGTAACACCGGAGTGGATTTGGTACATATACCTCCACTCCGATATTACAGTAACCAGCTTTTATGAATTTTGGAAGAATTGTCAAACCAAAAGTGAACAGATATGTATTTGTTTTGACAAAAGTTGACTCTTGTTTCCTGTTAAAACGTTTAACAGAAGTAACACCCTGGTCTGTCAGTTCTGCTACAATCTCATCTTCTGTCATATCGGACAGACAGCGGGCCCTGTCTCTGATAATACCTCTACATGTGTTGAGAGTTTTATGAACAGAAACAACTACCTGGTTGTTTACAAACTGCTTTAAACCCAGAAGATTAACAGACTGTTGCCTACGCAAACATTCAATTAAAAGAGAACCATTTCGTAGACGAGTGACGTTTTTAACCTCTCCGCAGATACCTTGAATACCCTTGGAGACGGCAAAAGGATTGATCCTTAAAGGGTTGCCATCAGAACTGTCAATGACCAAAAACCTTGGCCAGGAATCTTTAATGAAAGAAGATATCTCTTCGTCGGATGAAGAGGACATGTGACGACGTTTGCTCGTTTTAGAAGAACCAGTGGATTGAGTGGGGTTAGCCATGGTGTAATAATATAATTCAGCAGCCCTGCCCCCCACCCGCCATCGAGTGTCAACAAGGACGGTATTGGAGTGGATACCAGACAACAATACCAGGGTTACAGGGATGCCATACTCCAGAAAATACAGACTTGAAAAGCCATGATATCTTAAAGAATAAGTGCCAGGCTGGTTCGGCCCATGACGCTGTTCTAAAGAACACGGAATTCAGAGGTCTATATAACCAGATTGGCCCATGAGCCACCGCCTTCTGGCATGGGACTCTAGGCAATTAGATACATTCATAATTTATACACTGAAAGTGTAAATGACCAAATACCCAATACTAAAAATGTGCAAAAATAGTAACCATGCACAGGGCTTGGCGTGACCAGCCGATTGATTGAACCGGGCCAGTTCAACCACCCGTCTAGGTGAAGTAAGGGGCGAAGTGGTGTGTTGGGCAAAGGAACACTGTTCCTGGAACCAGTGCCCTCAACCACCAGCCTCCCGTCCTCCACCGACACAGGGGCGCAACCCACGGCAAACGGGTTGGTGGACCAAATATCCCCCCGGGTCCACAACGGGGGGTCGAAAGGCGCTTAGCGTTACCCAGCACCCACCACGAGGAGGTGGCCCTTCACGGGTGCCCATCTATGTCTGAAATGTGTGTATGGCCGATATCATCTATGACTGAAATATGTGTATGGTCGATATCAACTATGGCTGAAATATGTGTATGGTCGATATCATCTATATCTGAAATATGAATATAGCTGATATCATCTATATCTGAAATGTGTGTTGGCAATATAGTCTATGTCTGAAATGTGTGTATGGTCGATATCATCTATGTCTGAAATATGTGTATGGCCGATATCATCTATGTCTGAATTGTGAATATAGCTGATATCATCCGCATCGGAAATGTGTGTGGCCAATATAGTCTATGTCTGAAATGTGTGTATGGCCGATATCATCTATGACTGAAATATGTGTATGGTCGACATCAACTATGTCTGAAATATGTGTATGGTCGATATATTCTCTGTCTGAAATATGTGTATTGCCGATATCATCTATGTCTGAATTGTGAATATAGCTGATATCATCTGTATCTGAAATGTGTGTTGCCAATATAGTTTATGTCTGAAATATGTGTATGGCCGATATCATCTTTGTCTGAAATGTGTGTGGCCGATATCAACTATGTCTGAAAAGTGTCTATCCCGATATCATCTATAGCTGAAATGTGAGTATTGCTGATATCATCTATGTCTGAAATGTGTGTATGGCCGATATCATCTATGTCTGAAATGTGAGTATAGCTGATATCATATATTTCTGAAATGTGTGTGTGTCTGTATATTTGTACCATCCAACTTATGTGAAGTCATGTATATCAAAACTATATGTAGTTGAAGACACCTGTACCCAAGACGGATGTATAGACGAAGTTACCTATATCCAAAATAAGATCTATCTGCAGAAGATGTGAGAGCCCAGAGATTCTGTTTCCTGGATTCTAGCCGATCTAAGCTATATAAAACATTGATGTATAGCGACGATAGCCATCGAACAACATCCGTATATCTCGTTACACATCACAGGTATCATGACCTTAATCACAGACTAACATGTGATGTTGTGCGAAGACAACTATACTACCCATCAAAAGTTTAGACTCACTAGTGTACATGTAGCCACTTACTTCAGTCAACTGTTCGGAACTAGATTTTGTAAAATAATCCATACAGTTTAAAGGTACTGTTTATACATGAGCTCATGTATTGTAAAACAAATTCGTGACGTTGAAAAGTTTAATGTCATGTGTTCAATAAATGATGAAACTCGGTGAAAAATGGCGATATTTTATCAACACTTTACACCCAAACGCAGCTGTTCACATGCACGATATTTGCACATGCTTTTCAGCAATTTGATGCTTGATCCTCGTACAATTAATCTGCATAAGGCTTGCAGATGTTTCCCCTAAGTTTCATCTTCGTTGTAACCATATGTACATACATAACATATAATGATTGATCTAAGCGAGGTTAAACCTTTGATGGGTAGTATATATATATACGACAATGCAGACTTTTTACTTGTTTATTTAACATTTTATTCAAATTAGATCCTTCTTTTTCGACATGACATGCGACAGAATGGCTCCAAATGTGGAGCTGTGTTTTTAAAAATGAATTCCACAACACACTCTTTCAGTCGTTGTTCGACGGACTTCCTGTGGAAAATATACTTTTTGAATAATCAAACACACGGCGCCCACCCGATATTTCACATAACAGGTTAAGGACATTTACTCAGAAATCGCTTTAGAAATTCATTTTCAAGTGACGATTTCAATTTGCAGTGCTGCCATCAGCCAAATAATGGTAAGACGGAGATTCTAAATTTTAACGATAGAATTATCGTGAGGGTGGATAACAATATACGGACAAATAAATTCTTTATTACTGTAAGAGAGACGTTTCGGTGTAGGTTCTAACACCGTTATCAAGCAAATGATGATATCCAAATACTTGATATCGGTGTTGGGACCTACACCGGAACGTCGTTCTTACAGTAATAAAGAAGTTGTTCATCCGTATATTGTTAACCACCCTTCTTACTCCAACTTCTAAATGCCTCTCCAAGAAGAATTATCGTGTGTTCGATCATGACATCTTTCGGTTAAACATATATTTATATCTTAACCAACAATATGTTGAGTTGAATGATGTTGATCCTTCAAAATAATTAACAAAATGTAACGACAAAACATCACTACATTTGTTTGGTTAAAGCTTATCTCACTAACAGTCACATTACGCGTTGTATGTTCTCACAGTTCCACGTATATGTGCTCTACATATAGGACACTTGCTCAGTGCAGGTGCGCACTCAGCACACGACACAAGATGGCCGCACGGCAGGAAGACAACACAACTGGTTCTGTCCAGGCAGACCTTGCAGGTGTTCTCATCTCGTAACGCGCGGTTCTCCTCCTCGAGTTGACGCTGCAGGGAGCGGGGCAGGGAGCGGGAGGTCTCAGTACCTGAAGGAGGAAGATGGACAAAAAGTTAGTCCCACAAAACACATCTTGAAGCATCTTGATAGACAGTCCTGTACCCTTAGATAATGTCATGTTGAGGATATGCCATATAGGTACGAAGCAGAGTGTACATCAAAATAAATTTAAACAATTGACATTTACGACTTAATTTTACACTTATCTCTATAGATGTTGATTGGATTGCACAGAAACTGTTGCAGAGAGCTTCATGACTAACTTACCTGACATAGACTTGCCGGCTTCATGTGGATGTCGTGTAGATGACGAAGTCGGATTCTTCACAGATGATGGCTGATTTGCCGTGGTGGAGTTGCTCGGCGTTGTCAGTCTTGCTGGAAGAGACTGGTGTACTTCAGACACCTGGTGCCTTTGCTGTGGGATCTCTGGATTCCGGTGTCTCTCACCGGGTTCCTCAGACGCGATAACCAATCTTTCAAGCAACGCTTCCAATGAGACAGGGATCTGATCTTTAGGAAGAACAAAGGATGGAAAACAATATCATTAAGGACCTGAAATGTGTGATGAACTTCATGGAAAGAATATTCATGCATTGATATCTATGATGTCATAAAAGTCCCATTTAAAGCAATTGCCAACATTTACTGAATCAGTGAATGTGTCTGATCGGCATCAATTCCATCAAATATACAGTGATTTTGAGTCTGATGTAGCAGATTGAAATCCCGTCGCAAAGGGAACAAGCACCAAGCACTCAACAACATATTTATCCAAACTTCACAACAGCACAATGCTACTGCATCTATCGCAATCGTCTCCGTACTTCTTCAGTCAGTGGATGGACTGTTTACCTGCCAACAGGCAGATCTATCTACTTGTCCATAGTATACTTAGATTAGGCGTCTACCACAGATGCACTGTTACCGCTGGTGCTGCTTTCATACCTGTCTCCCCTGCAGCACGGGAGTTGTTGTACGACCGGGACATCTCCATCACCGCCTTCTCCACCATCTGCCGGGAGAACCCCATCTCCACCGCCCTCGCCACGACAGTCATGTCTGAACAGGGTACAATGTGATACGAATGAATTCTGTCTTCCATTTTTAGGAAGTGAATTTGTCATTCATGTTGTACGTTGTGAGAACATGACCGTTTTCATGATACGTCATATCTAAACATCATGTACTTGGATATGTCATTATTACTCGGGGCGGTGGGGTAGCCTAATGGCTAAAGCGTCCGCTCGACACGCTGAAGACCCGGGTTCGATTTCCCACATGGGTGCAATGTGTGAAGCCCATGTCTGGTGTCCCCCGCCGTGATATTGCTGGAATATTGCTAAAAGCGACGTAAAACCATACTCACTCACACACTCATTATTACTCATACTCCCTACTATGTATCAGTAATTTCGTAAGTGTGGATTGCGTTTTTATTTTGATAAACGTGTAAAGAGACATTTGTTTCGAGATCTATGAAACCTTTGATGGATACATTAATAGTATTCAATGATACACCTATACGACTATTAATAACGTTCTCGTTAATGTGACAGGGAGCATCCCATTCATCAACGTCCCTATCGAAAATTGAGCTGTATATGCACGAGTATTTGATTCTTCTATCGTGCATGTAGAATTAGACAAAAAGTGAAGATGCTTCATGTTTGTACTATACTATACACACATGTCACCAATCGCGATATTTCTAAAACTAAGAATACACTTCACATACTGTTGGTTACAGTGGAGCTTGGAGAAGTCTGAAACAGAAACAGCTATTATGCAAATATATGTCAACGCCATTGCTAGTCTGCCGAAGCAGATTACACCGGGAGTAAAAACATGAAAAATACGCAATAGGTTATTTCTGTAAGCAGTAGAGAGGACGACCTGAATGTACTGGCAATGTTTGGGGTGTTCGGAGATGAGGGAAGCAGTGACTTACTCAATTGTACAATCCTTTGAACATTATTTCACTTTTCTTCTGAACCCAAAGTGGCGCAGTTCGTAGATGAAGTTCACAGGTAAAGTGTTTAAACTTATACTCATGATTTAGGCCTGGACAAACCCAGGTCGTCTTCAGACGGAAATATCCTAACCTTGTGTGTCAACGCCTGTATGACAAAGTTCTCTCCTTTCAATCTACGGATGTAGCTGCAGGACGACCTCCAGCGCACGTGCTCCACAAAAGGGTCATCCCTCTCTTCCCACGTCTTCAGACCAACACCACAGTAGAAACACCGGACACAGTCGGAGTAACCTGGAATTTGGATTACATAGCTTGTGACTTTAGTACACTCCCTCGAACACATCTGTAGCTGGTTTACCTTCTGTCAAAATCATACAAAAAACAAACCGGGATCAAGTAGATTGCTCCTTACTGAAATTTGCACAGGGAGATGGAGATGAGATCCGATGAGGTATTTACAAGCTAAATTGTAATTGTAGTTTTATTTGTGCCATGATTCGACCATTTGTTATTCTGAGGTTCATGTGGTATTAATATGAGCTCCCGACAAAAACTCGAGAAACAAAAACCTTCTTTCTATCAAAATATCTTTTTTTGCGCTGGACATGATGTATGTCGTGAATAAAATGTGTTGAAGAATACAAATTTAACATTAATTATAAATAATATATACAGTCTCTAATAAAACATCCAAACTCCATCCCGTACCTAAACGCAACACAAGAATAAATAATGGTTGGTGCCTGAGGATAGTGCTATCTCAGGTTGACCAGAACTGGTCTTCGATACGACTTTAGTTTTGCTAAGTTTAAAGACATTGTAAAAGTAATGAGTACATTGCATTTGCAGTGGTTCAACGTTGATTATAATCGACTGTTTCGGGTACCATTCATGCATCTGTATGGCTGACATAATTCCGATGTAACTGTAAACCCTACCTGCATAGAAAAAACCTGCTGTCGCCAGTACCCGCGGGTCCTGCACGTGTGACGTGTCCCAGCCTCTGAAGCTGTCTAACCTGGTCTGCATGTCTCTGTAATGAGGATGCACAGCACTGTTCATGTCAAGGGATGGTTCAGACACGACAGTTGCTACTTCTGCTGCTGCTGCTGCTGCTCCTAGAGTTGGTGTCTCTGTAGCTGTAGGTGGTAATGTATCTGTTGTTGTTACATTGCTGCTTCCAGAGTACTCCCCAAGGATACCGTACACCGTTGTTGCATTCGAATTTGAAGTCAGCGGTATATTTCGCGGGTCACCTCTGTTCAGATGTGGGCAGTCAGGGGAAATAACTCTGTGTAGAACATCCGGTCTGTCCATTATTTGCCAGCCTGTGTGTGACTTCCTACAGCTGTAGCAACGAGCCTCGTCCTCGCGACCTGTAGCATAGAATCCTGACTGGGCAAGCCTCATGGGCGAGGCCTGGACGGGGATCCCAGAAAAAGACTGCAGTCTCCGTACCTCGTAACACATCTCCTCCTCTACGGGCACCTGTCCCGCCTCCTGTACCTTCCCCAGATAGGTCGTCAGTGATGTTGTAAAGGGCTGGGCCACCACTTCGGGAACTGAAAGATACTCGGGCTGGATTTCAAACATACCAGAAAGGACTTTGTCTATTTTCTCTGAACGACTGTCAAAGTACTTCACAACTGTTCTCGTAATGAACTGTTCCTTAGATGGCCTGTTTCCGTCAATATTAGAAAGAGATGTTTTCAGTTCGTTTCTTTCACGTATCAATCCCATCTTGCTTTTATGGGCAAATTTCACGGATTTAAACAGTGAAGTAATATGAACACAGTGTCCATCATCCACATTATCATCAACACGTTTCAACATTATATCTTCAAGTCTGATAGAGAAATATAATTGAAGTATACCAAGCACCACGATCAACAGAAGTATCCAAGGTACACATCTATTCTTAGTCCTTCCAGATGTAGTGACCTTTACGTTAGCACACCCGTGTCCCAGTTCACACAACACCATGTTGCCACGATGAGAATGTCCGGATTCCTCGAAGAAGGAACTGCACCTCTGTAAACCCTCTTGTGCCCCATGTTTCGGGTTATTGGTTGGCAGAGAGGCGACAGCGAGGTAAACACATGATACAATAACTACATATAGCCCAGCCATTGTAGTAGGTGTTGATGTCTTTGATCGTTTCTGATAGTATTCAAACCGTGGGCGTCGTCACTATGCTGAATAAGAGTGGTATTATCACAGGTGATTAATCCAAGATATTTTTTATGGATTAAACTTCTTTTTTTTCTCGACGTTTCGAGACCATTCCAGGTCCCTTCATGAGGAGTTCACCTGATGAAGGGACCTGGAATGGTCTCTGAAACGTCGTGAGAGAAATTACAAAAAAGTAGTATAATCCATAAAAAATATCTTGGACATCATCAATGTACAACTTCTAAATGCCACTGAAAGACATCACAGGTGATTTAGATGTAAATCAATGTCAAGGTGCTCAATAATGAAATCAATGTTCACGTGTAACTTTTTACATACCTGGCGGCGAGAAAAAACATTGTTTATCGATATTTCCAACGCAATTATCAATATTACTTGGCGGATATCCGGATTCTACATCCATATTCCTGTCGGTAGGTGTTAAAACAAAAATCTAAAAAATGATTTTTCAGATTTTTGTCCCTCCTAAGTGGCTTTCTTCAGAAAGCTATGTATAGATAATAGAATATGCCATCAGCCATTCAGGTGTTCTCCCATTTCCTACCGTCATGGGTTTTAAAAAACAACAACAGCATTTTCACTCAGGTAACGATAATTCAGGGATTTTATTTGTTTCAATATTAAAATGTTTGCTTTGCAGCTATGATAAACTCGTAACAGAAATTGATTTCAATAAAGTAGATTTTTAATATATTTATCGGCAGTATTTAAAAATGGAAACATTGATTTTTCCACTCAAGCTCTAAGTACCGTAAATCAAGTAATAAAAAGTGTGGTCTAAATGCCGACCTCAGAGAATTAGATCTGTGACGGAAGATGAAATGTCCAAACTTGTCTCCAAATGTCCAGCGAAATCAATATGTTTGTTTGACCCATTACCAACGTGGCTCTGAAACAAACCATTCAATCTCTTCTTCCTATCTGGACGTATATCACCAACAGTTCACTAAGCCAAGGTGTAATGCCTGATCAACTGAAGACAACAATTATCACTCCCCTCATAAAGAAGAAGAATCTCGATCACGAATTGTTAAAAAAATACAGACCAATATCCAATTTGGCATTCATTTCTAAGCTGATTGAGCGCATTGTTGCATCTCAATTCAGAGACCATATGAGCAGAAACAGCTTCTATGAAGAGTGCCAATCTGCCTAGCGATCCTTCCACAGCACGGAAACTGGTAAGCTGCTGAAGGTTCAGAACGACATCCTAAGACGCATAGACACCGATGGAGCGGTCATTCTTGTATTGTTGGATCTCTCAGCTGCTTTTGACACTGTTGACCATTCTGTGCTACTCTCACCCTTGAAAACAGGTTCAATGTCAAAGATCTTGCATTAAGGTGGTTTGTCTCCTACTTAACAGACCGGAAGCAGGCAGTTGTCATCCAGGGTGAAAGGTCAGAGGCAACGTACTTCTTGAAGTTTGAGTGCCTCAGGGCTCCGTCCTAGGCCCCCTTCTTTTCACATGCTACACATCTGCCCTCGGTGATATTGATGGGTCCTAATGCACCTCCTATGCTGATGACACGCAAGTCTTCTTATCCTTCAAGCCATCTGACGCATCTTCAACCAAGTTCTCTTTGAGTAGAAGAGTAGAAGAATGTGTTGATTGTATCAAGCGAGTTGGATGTCATCAAACTATCTTAAATTAAAATGATGATAAAACTGAGCTCATTGTGTTCCAACCTCTTCGACTTCAGAAAAAAGCTTTTGCTTCCACAATTTTTCATCGGTGAATCTGCAAAAACAATGCGCCCACATGTTCGCATGGAACCCCATGTTCGCAATGTGTCTGTCGTCAATCGTATTTCCATCTGTGCAACATAGGTATGATCCGTCGATATCTGGTTGTGAAGTCTGCACAAGCTCTAGTTCAAGCATATGTAACATCCCGCTTGGACTATTGTAACTCTTTGCTGTCCGGTGTGCCAAAACAAGTCTTCTACAGGCTACGGAAGGCAATACAAAATTCAGCTGCACGATTGATCTGTCAAATTAAAGGACTGGACATCTCCTGCCCTCAAAACTCTACATTGGCTTTTAATTCGCTTCAGAATCGGCTACAAAATCCTGCTCCTTGTTTTCAAGTGTCTAAACGGTCTAGCTCCAAAATACTTCTCGGATCTCCTGACACCATATCATCCAACTAGATCACTCCGCTCAAGGGACCAGTCTCTCCTTCAAATACCACAAACTAGAACTAAGTCATATGGGGACAGGTCTTTCTCTAGAGCAGGACCCTTCCTCTGGAACAATTTACCATCCATCCTTCGTTCGGAAACAGAACTGTCAAATTTTAAAAGTGCACTCAAGCCGCACCTATTCACCTCTGCACATGGATATAGTGGACTCAGATAGCGCGTTTGAGCAATTACATTGATAAAAGCGCTTTATAAATATTTGTATGTATGTATGTATGTATGTGTGTGTACTTATGCTGAGGACTGAGCATCATATAACCTGTTCATGACGCTATTCATGGAGACCACACTGAAGTGCTAAACCAATCTTGTGTTCGACGCAATTGTAGTAGAGTCGAAATACGATTTTATTCATTTCATTCACTCATTCCTTAAAACATCAGCAATGTCTTATCTGTTCAAAAACAGGTTACGCGAGGAAAACTAATAAAGAGCTGTGATTTTAAGATTTTTCTACAAACTGACTGACTGATGATGATGAAGCATACTCGTCCAATGCTTCAGCTACATCGAATAACACATGTTATATTTAGGGATTACACTTTCTTAGTAAAGTACAGATTCTAGTACTTTTAGCTAAACCCAATTTTTAATTAAAAGTACTAGAATCTGTTCTTTACTAAGAAAGTGTACTCCCAAATAAAACATATGTTACATTTGACCACTTGACTAAGAAAGTGTAATCCCAAATATAACATATGTTACATTTGACCACTTTACTAAGAAAGTGTAATCCCAAATAAAACATATGTTACGTTTGACCACTTTACTAAGAAAGTGTAATCCCAAATATAACATATGTTACATTTGACCACTTTACTAAGAAAGTGTTATCCCAAATAAAACATATGTTACATTTGACCACTTTACTAGGAAAGTGTAATCCCAAATATAACATATGTTACATTTGACCACTTTTACTAAGAAAGAGTAATCCCAAATATAACATATGTTACATTTGACCACTTTCTCAATGACACTGTGTAATCGTACACATCGAGGTTATACAATATTTCAAAATATATGTATCATATAATTAAAATAGAATGGGTGATTTACAATTTCAGCTGTGGGACTATGAGAATATACATACCATCCACGTGGCCGAAGGCTGGTTACGAATGATTTTGCAATATGTATTACTCGAATATACCTTACATCTAATCTAAATATAGCGACACGTGAATCGCTTATTGCCTTTATCGTATAAGTAGCAATAGAAATTTATAATACGGTTTTATTTTGTTTTATTTGATAGGTTATAAAAGCAGAATTGATATCATTATTTTAAATCATTATTGATAAAGGGTTTTATTGCGCATCAGTGATAT